CCTCCACACTGGTGACATGGTCTCTTCCCACCTTTTTTGAGGCCTCTCTCTTGGGACGGAAACACCCAGACGGGGAGGTGAAGTGACTCAGAAAAGGAGAAGCAGCGCCCAGAGTCCAGCTCCCACCCGGTGGAGGCCAGGAGGGAGGAGGGGCAGCCTGAGACCGTGACACTGGAGGTGCAGTCTTGATGGGGACCAGTTGGAACTGGTGTGCCGACCTGGGGGTGGGGAGTTGGCACACTTCCACAGAGAGGACAGGCTCAGCACCCAGCTCACAGAAGCATAAGTTTCAGGACTAAAAGATGCAGGAACAAGACTCAGAATGGTTAGAGAACAAAAACAAAGTGAAGAGATGAGTGGATAGTGGGTGAGTGGTAGGTGGACGGATGGATGGATACATGGGTGGGTGGGTGGTAGTTGGATGGGTGATGGCTAGATGACTGGACAAGTAGATGGATTAGTAAACGGGTAGGTAGATGAATAGATGGATGGATGGATGGATGGGTGGAGGATAGATGGCAGATAGATGAGTGGGTGGGTAATGGGTGACAGGATGAATATGTGGATGGGAAAACGGATGGGTGAATGGGGTCATGGATGTGTGGGTGGGTGGGTGGGTGTATAGGTGGATGGAAGGATGGGTGTATGAGTGGGTGGATGGATGAGTGGATGGAGGTGTAGATGGGAAGATGGACAGGTGAATGGGTTCATGAATGGGTGGGTGGGTAAGTGGATAGATACACGGATGGATAGAAGATGGGTGGATGAGTGGGTGAATGGATGAGGGGATGGATGGGTGGTGGATGGACGAGTGGATGGAGGTATAGATGGGAAGGTGGACAGGTGAATGGGTTCGTGGATGGGCAGGTGGGTAAGTGGATAGGTGGAAGGATGGATGCGTTGATGGGTAGATGGGGAAATGGATGGATGAGTAGGTAGTGGGTGAGTGGCTAGATGGGCAGATGGATGGGTGGGAGGATAGGTGGATGGGTGAGAGGGTGGGTCGAGGTAGCACTGGCATGCAGCAAAGAGCACACTGGCTGTGGGTCAGAGAAGCTTGCCATTGCCCTGATTCTGACCCCAATGCCCTATGGGACTTGTAGTAAGTCATCTGGCCTTCTTGGGCTTCAGCTTCCTTATCTGTCTAAAGGGACAATAGTCCCTGCCCCCTACTACCCAAGGATCAGAAAAGATCCCTGGGCTGTGAGTGCCCCCTGACCCCATGGCCTCTCCAACCCTACTGACCCATCTCACCCTGCCCACATGCCTGTCCTGTGACAAGCTTCCTCTTTCCTGTGTCCACAGGGACCTTCTGTGCAGTTTCCATCAGCATGTTCTAATAGGGGTCAAGGGAATTCTGTTCACAGCCAAGTCCAACACGGGGAACACCCACCCCCTGAGTCTGGTCAAGCCCAGCTGATATGGCTGGGGTCAGGGGGCCATCTCTCAGTTCAAGAAGTGGGTTCTGTTCCCAGCTCTGGCGCTCAGTGTGCTGGGGCCCAAGGCAACTCACCGCCCCCCTCTGAGCCTCGCCTTCCTTATCTGAACACAGGGATAACAGCAGCACCCCACATGTGGGTGCTGGGCCCGTGTGGGGCCCAGGGCTGGGCTCACCCTGAACCGAATGGCCGCCCGCAGGGCTTGCCATTCCTCCTGCAAAGAAGGGCTGGGGGCACACAGGCTTCTGGAATGCGGGACTTCTGGGGGTCAAGAACCCCGGGGTCCAGGTGGTCTCAGCGCCACAGTAGCCAGCTCCGATGCCAGCTCCATGTGGTCACTCTGCGGCTTCACGTGCACCTCATCCTGGACAACCCAGGGCCCAGCTCCCCATTACCAGCTGGGTGACCCTGGGCAAGCGACTTCACCTCTCTGAGTCTTGGTTTCCTCACCTATGAAAGACGGCCTCAGAGGCCCCTGGTGGCTTTGCCGGTTCCTTCCCCATCACTGCCTGGTCTGCTGCCCAGCAAGGTGCGTGAGGCGGGCAGCCTCCACCACTGGAGATGCACATGCTGAGGTCCAGAGAGCTTCTGGACTTCACTCCAATGCGGAACTGGATAAAAAGGCAGACCCCTCCCCAGCTTTGCACCCAACCTGCCCTGAGGACTCCAGCGGAAGCCTGGAGCCAAAGGTTGGACTCTGGGGCCCCCGGGCTGCCCACAATCCCTCCTACCACTCCTCCCTGCCAGCGCCTGGCATTTCCCGCTCAGCAGTGGAGTCCTGGCTGTGAGCTGGGGGGTCATGGGGTTCTCCTTGCAGTGGAGCCTTGAGACACTGCCCCCATTGTCCTACCCCCCCAGGGGACCCCTGACACCTTGCAGACCCAAGGGGCACCCACAGAGTCCATGGGAAGTGCAGCAGCCCAAGCAACAGGGTTGTTGGGTCAGCTGCCCCATCAGCCCTGCGCGACCTGGGCTGGGGAGAGGTGCCAGGTGGAAAGGAGCAGGGACACAGGGGCCCTGGGGGCAGCCAGCAACAATGCAAGGTCCCACCTCCTCCACCCCCGCTCCCTCCTCCCCTTCCCCAACTGCAGCAGACTCTGGTTAAAACAGCACCTCCGCCATCTGTCATCCCTCCCCCACTCGGTGGGCGCGGCTGTGACTGGGGGGCTGGCTTGCCTCATAAACAGGAGGCTGGCGGGTCCCCAGGGCCAGGCTGGTGATGGGCCTGGTGCTGGCGCGGTGCTGCCGAGCTGGGGGGAGCCCGCGGGTGGGCGGGCAGATCACCAGGTACCAGGAGGGTTCCACGCCCTCCTGCGATGGTGCCCCTTCTTCCCAGGGCTCCCTCTGCGGCCCCGACTCCCATCTGCGCCCACCCCCTTCCCCGGAGCTCCCCCCAGCTCCCCGGAGCTCCCACATCCTCCCCGCCTGGCTTCTGCTGCGTTTAGAGAATTCAAATCAACACTGGGGTATAAGAGGCTCCCAGAGCCTCCCTCTCAAGGGCTGCCTCCCTGGGCAGCACGCACCCCGCCTCGGGCATCTTTGCTTAACAACCAGGGAAACTGAGGACAGACAGCGGGGCAGTGGGGAGCTGGGAGTGGACCAGGACTCCCCTCCGACCTGGCCCTGGCTTGGCCTTGCCTCCGGGTCAGAAGCAGGTGCGGGGAGGGAGGAGGCAGGACAAGAGGTCAGGGGCCTGAGTCCTGAACCTATAAACAAGCTTCCCGGCCTCACTTTCCCCATCTGAGGAATGGGGGAGCCAGGCTGCTCAGAGAGGGTATGTTCTGAGCCAGAGAACACACGGAGACTGGCCATCTGCAGCACGGGAGGGGCAGGGGAAGGCGGTGCCCCGCAGGCGTCTGTCCAGGTCAGGACCCTCCACATCCGTCCCGCGAGTTCCGCGGCTTCTCCCTCCCCCACCACAGCGCTGCCGGCGGCGGCCCCTCCTCTCCCGCCTTCTGACTGCCAGCTCCGCCGGCAGAGCCCCCAGACCCCAGCTGCAGTGCTTTTACAGCTTTGACCATCCGCGCAGCCCCCCTGCTCTCCGTCCTCCGCCTTCTCCTCTCTCCTCCTCCCCCACCTCCGTCTTTCCCCCTCTCTCTATCCTCTCTCCTCCATCCTCTCCCCCTCCTCCTCTTCATCTTTCTCCCTCTTCTCCCCCTCTCCATCCTCTCCCCTCCTCCCCTGCGTCTCCCCCCTCCCTCCATCCTCTTTCCCTCCCCCCTCCCGCCTCCCTCCCCCCTCCTCCTTCCCGAGCTCTCCCTCCCTCCCTCCTCCCTCTCTCCGGGGGAAGAAAGGTCACCGTGCAGCTGATTACTCAGAGCTCAGTTGCTGTAGCAACCGGCGAGGGAAGTGGGACAGGCTGGCTTTGAGGACGCGTGAGGTCGGCCGCGGGCGGCTGGAGCCGGCGCGGGCCCCGGCGCTCCTGCGAGAGGGAGGCTGCCGGCGCCCGGCTCCTCGGCCGCCGCGGGCCGGCTCCGGGGTTTCATTTTTAATGAAGAATTCCTGCTACCCTCTCGTACCCCTCCCCGGCCCCCTGCCCCCCTCCCCGGGGTCTGGAGGGGAGCTTCGCCCCTCCTCGGGTGGGCTGCTTCTCTCTCTCTCTGGATGCCCGGCTCTGCCTCCCTGTCTGTCTCTCCCGCTCTGACACAGGCTCTGATGGCTTCTTTCTTCCTCCTCCTCTCGCACAGCTCAAAGGGACAAGCTCCTTCGCTGCAGACGGGTGCACAGAAACCAGCATTCACACACACACACACACACACACACACACACACACACACGCGCATGCATGCCACTTTCTCACCAGCTTGGTAAGGAGCCCGAGAAAGCCCTGGGCACCACCCCTGGAGCCCCCGGGATGCCTTTGTCACCGGCCTGGGAGACCCCCCCCCCCCAGGCTTCCTCAGTGCAGCCAGAGACGAGAGGCCACAGAGGGCCTGGCCGGCTGCTTCCTGGGGCACTGGCATTCACCTGGTACCCACTGTGTGCCCAACCGGCCCTCCCAGAGCCGCTGAGCCCCTGGGAAGGCAGCCTCTGCTCAAAGAGGAAGCCAGACCCACAGTGGGGGGGCGGCTAATGCAGCCCAGGGGAGCTGCCTGCTCCTGGTGGGGGGGGGGGTTGCATCTCAGCCCCCTGCCTTCTCTTGGCTCCTTCTCCTGCCGTTCTGTCCAGGGAGCAAGGCCGGCCCTGAGCCGGTCAGGGAGGTCCAGGGCTTGGCAGTGAGGGACACAGGCTCTGGAGCGTGGGACCCTCCTCTGCTGCTGGTGGGGGGGTAGAGTGGCTCAGCCACTATGGAAAACACCGGGCAGCTTTTAAAAAAGTGAAACGCACACTTAGCATATGACCCGGCCATTCCTCTCCTAGGCGTTTATCCCAGAGAAATGAAAACTGAGGTCCACGCTGACTTGTACCCGGATGTTCACAGCACCTTTATGGGTAATAGGCAACACTGGGAACGGCCCACGATCCCTCTCCAGGCAGTCGTGCATCCCGACAGTGGAACACTGCTCAGCAATAAGAAGAAATGAACCACTGATGCACACGACACGGAGGAACCCCATGGTTGTTATGCTGAGTGAGGGGAGCCAGGCGACGAAGAATGTGTACTGTGTGATTCCACTCAGAGAAACTTCTAGAAAGTGCGAACTAACCTATAATGGGAGAAAGCAGCTCAGTGGTTGCCTGAGGACAATGGGGCCCAGGAGGGACCACAAAGGGGCACGAGAAAACTTTCGGGGTGGTGGATATGTTTACTGTTTTGATGGTAGTAACCGTTTTATGGGTTACAGATGCCCAAACTCATCAAATTGTGCAATTTAAATATGTGCCGTTACCGTGTGTCCATTATACCTGAATAAACTGAAAAAACAAATTCCTGCTCTGCCATTCACCGGCTGAGTGACCTTGGGAGGGTCACCTCACTTCTCCCAGCCTCATTTATGAGAATGGGATAATGACAGTGGCAGCTTCACAGGATGGTCATGACGATTCAGTGAGATAATGTTAGTTAATTGCTCACCTCCATCCAGAGCAAACCACCGGTGCCCCATCCAGGGCAGAGAACCACACTGTGTGACCCACCTGCTCCTTGCCAGACTGCAAGATGTACCCCGCCCACCACTCATGCCTTGGCAATGAGAATGGGAACCCCCGCTCCATGCCAGGCCTGGCCACTTCCTGGGTAAACAGAGAACTCCATCCTAACTCCATCCTCATGGGCACATACTCTGGAGCTGCAGATACATCTCTGACCATTACAACACGAGGAAGAGACGTTCCAGCAGGTGCAAAGGCCCTGTGGCTGGTGGGAGTATGGTACTTCTCAGAATCCACAGGGAGGCTCAAATGGAGGCAGCAAGAGGGGCACAGACAGGCCGGATCGTGTGACATCTTGGATCATGTGACATCTTGCAGGCCCTGCTGAGGAGTCTGCAGGCCTCCTAAGGGCCACCAAGCCCCTGCGTGTGGTTTGCTGGAGACTGTGGCGTTGGCTCCATCTCGGTGCAAATCCTGGCTCCCAGTTCACTGCCACCTTCTCTAAGGCTCAGATTCCCCATGTGGCCAATGGGGGTAACGAGCCCTCATGGGGCCTGGCCCAGAGCTCAGTGATTAGGGGATCCAAGCTGTGCCCAAGTCCCTTGTCGTGTTTGTCACACCATGTTATAATGGTCAGGCTCTGGGTAGCTTGCCCGCCTGACTCTGGGCTCCGGGGGCAGCCCCTGCAGCCCCTCCAGCCTCTGCCCTCTGAACCTTCACCCCTGGCACAGATCAAGCAGCCCATAAACGTCTAAGGAGGCAAATTGAGGCACATGGGCAGCAGGGGCAAAGCCCCTGCCCGTCCGGGGTCCACTCTCTGGCTGGAAGACAAAGAGACACCGCTTCTGTGGGTAGGCAAGCGAGGACCCCAGGGAGCACTCAGACGGTGTTGAGACCGCCCCCTCCATGCTCAGCTTCCATTTAGAGCCTTCTCTCAAATTTAGAGCAGGCAGGGGCTATTTTCTTGGTTCTCTGAGCTAGGGTTGGTTCTGGCAGTTAATTGCGAATGACTTTGACCAGCCAGGTTTTCACCTTTTACTCACCTGAGAATGAGGTCCTGAAAAGGACGAGATTCTGAAGCTGCCACGACCAGCTGCCGAGAACCATCACGGTGGGATGCAGTTGACATGAGAGATTGTGGCCCACAGGGGCCAGGCCAGGAGGGGCTCAGCCAGCCCCCACCGCATGACCAGAGAGGCGGCACGCCTGGGCCAGGTGCACAGCGAGGCCCTGCCACAGCCTGCCTGGGACTCGCCGTCCAGTGCTCTTCCCACAGGGTGGGCCAGTCTGCAGACCAGCTGCCCGATTCCTCTTCTGCCACTGAGGCTCACACGGGAGCTGCCCAGGTTTGCGCCAGGGAGAGAGAAGGAAAGCGCTACTCTGAGACCCCACAGCAGCATCTGCCAGGAAGGAGGGCCCTGGCCTCTGAGTGGCTCGTGTTCCCACGCCCCCTTCGAGGCTCCCTTCCCAAAGAGGGTGGAAGTGTGGCCGCCTTTCCCTGGGACTCAGCCCCATTCAATCACCAAGGGCAGGACAGCATCGGGGCTGAAGTCAGGCAAACAGCATTCAAACCTCAGCTCTGCCGCCTGCAAGCCGCAGGCCCTGGGCAAACCTCTCAGCTCCCTGCGCCTCCATTGTCTCATCTGTAAAATGGGGAGAATAACCACACCCCCCTCACAGGGCCAGAGTAAGCAGTCCACAGAGTCAGGCCGGGCATAAGCAGCTCAGCCCGCATGCCCGGCACGTGGTAAGGGCTCAGGAAGCGGCAGCCTGTGAACAGCGTCAGCAGACGGCACCGTCAGCTGGATGTGGGGCCGTGCAAGGGGATGGGCGGAGGCCCGTGTCCAGAGGCAGGGCCCTGCTCACTTTCTGACCAACGAGGTGCATCCGTCTCCCTTCATCCCTGGGCTCCCTCCACCTCCAGCCTCTACCCTGCCTCTCTGCCGGGCCCAGGGACCCCGTCCTGTGTCAGGAAGTCCACTCCAGCAAGGCCCAGCTCTCCCTCGACCTTGCATAATCTTCGAGCTTGGAAGACCTTAGAGAGCGTGGTGTCCAGCCTCTCCAGCTGCCCCATCGACCAGATGTGGAGCTGAGGCTCAGAAGCAAAGGCACTTACCAGAGGCCCGACTCCTAGCCTGGCGCTCCTTGAGCGGGTCCTCGGATCACTCCTGCCGCGGCAGTTCTGGGGAGAATCCCCTTGCTGTGGGATGGACTGTCATCCTCGGGCTGGGAGCTCCATGTGGGCAGGGACCACTACTGTCTTGTTCACTTTATGGGCCCCACCCAGGCCTGGAACCTGTGAATGAATGAATGATGAGTGAGTGAATAAATGAATGAGGCTGGAATCCATCTGCCTCCCAGGGCAGCATCCCAGGAGAAGCCGACTTTGGCTCCAGCCTCTGTGGGGTCACCAGGCCCAGCCCGGCCCAGAGGAGAGAGGTGGCCAAGGTTGCCAACGGTTCAGAGGCTTCCAAGAGTCTGTTGACGAAAGGATCACAGGAAGCAGATGACAGAAGGGCAGGAAATGGCTGCAGGGTGGGTGGGGGCGCAGAGCCCCCCGCCCAGGCCGGGATGAAAGAGGCACAGGAAAAGGACACAGATGGATCGGCCGTGGGGGGTGGAGGATGACAGGATGTGGGCAGAGGGTCTCGGCCGCTTCCCTTGCACAGAGGATGGACTGGATGGTTTGCTCTCGCTGTAGGACCCCCCTTTCTGCTCCCCACCACCAGCATCCAGCCCCGGGCCCGGCACGCAGAGGATGATCAACAGGTATTTTCGGATTCACCGTGTGCACGAATGAACGGAAGCATTTGTCAGCTATTTCTGACCTGCCCAGAAGTCGAGGAGAGGGGCAGGCAGGGGATTTTGACACAAAACCCCACTTGTTTCAAGGAGAATATTGTATTAACAGTAACTGTGACTATTATCACAGCCAGCGCTTACTGAGCAACTACTGTGTGCTCCGGCACGATATCTCTACATTATGTCCTCATTAGCTCAGTGACCTGTCACCACCTCTACAAAGTGTCCTTAGCTTCATCGTACAGATGAGGAAACTGAGGCTCAAGAAGAAGGGTCTTGCTCCCGGTCACCCAGCAAGTCAATGACAAAATTGAGATTCAAGTCAGAGTCTTTCCAAGTCTATAAACTCTGCTCTTAAATACATATTCTCAGGCTGACGGCAAAATGCCTTATCACTCATCCAGCCATGCCTTCGTTTACCCATTCATTCATCCCGCGGGCGTTTACTAGAATCCCACCCACGTCGTGCACTGGGCACTCAGGGCGGCCACCGTGAAGGAAGTAGTCGCGGTCCCTGTGCCCCGGGACTCCTCGTCTGGAGGGCAGACTCCACCCGAACAGTTAATTCCTTGTGATTTTGGAAAGTGCAGGAAGGAGAAAGCTGGGGTGCAGAGGTGGTGTCTGTGGGGACCTGCCCAGTCCAGGGGCCTCAGAAGATGCCTACCGTGTAGACTGCAGGATGGGAGGACATCACCAGTAGGGAGTTGTGGACAGGCGGTAGACAGTCAAGGACTGCGGAAGGGATGAAAGAGAGTAACAGTCATAATCCTGATCTGAGCAGGCACGGTTCCTTGAGGTCTTTCTCTCTGCAAGCTGCTTGCATGGATTCTTTTATAATCTTTACAAAAAGAGGGAGATATGGATGCCCTTATCATCATCCATCACCATCATAATTGGGTCATCAACATCAACATCATTGGAGAGACCAGCTTACGTGGCTGCTAAGAGGCAGAGTCAGGGGTTCTCTGATCCGGGGGTCTCAGCTCCCGACCCTGTACCCAGCGAAGGCAGGAGAAGAGACCCTCCCACCCACCGGCTGGGAGTGAGCTGGACCCACGGGGATGCAGTGCTCAGTGGAGGTGCTGCCACCCACCAGTCCTCCTCGGGCTGGGAAGGGCTTCAGGTCCAGAGCAGAATGTTTCGGGAGGGGACGTTTCTGAGCTCAGATCACCTGGTGCTGCATCAGGAGGGACAGAGAGCCCTGCCTGGCCTTCTGACCAGAGTTTGAGAGGCTGGGGTCTGCAAGGTGGACCCTGGCCTCCTGCTCTGGGCTGGTGGAGGCTGCCATGCTCCATGAAGGCAGCCGTGGGGCAGGGCTGCAAGACCCCCAATGTCACCTGGCTCTCCTGTCCCCAAGCCCTGAAGACTAAGCTGCTTTTCTATGTTTTCCTTGAAGGGAGGGAGGAGGCCCGAGATGCTCCCTAGCCTGGGCCGTGGGGCCCTGAGGGGTTGAGCTGGGGGTTGCTGTCTCTCAGTGCTTCTCCTCATCACCTAGAGGACGCAAGGCAGGGATGGAGGCCCCCACGATGCAGCCAGAGCTCTCCCCGGGCTTGGGCCTCAGCAGGTCCCTGCATCCCTTGGGAAAGTTCAAACAACCCCCGTCTGTAATGCCAATGATAACAGCACATACTTCCTGAGCATCAGCCATGTACCTGGCCCTGTGCTGAGCATCTCCCCAAAGTATCTCCCTGACTCCCAGGTGGCAGAGGCTGCTGGCTATTGCCCAGTATCCATTCTGCCATCTCTCCTTCAGTAACACAACATCCCTTCCTGGGTTTTAATGAGACACATGGCTGCCAGGCTAAATACTACATCTCCCAGTCTCCCTTGCAGCTAGGTGTTGTCATGTGATCAGTTCTGGCCAATGGGACGTAAGAGAGATGAACCATGCACCTTCCACCTTGCCCTTAAAAAGAAGAGGCGTCTCCCACCTCCTGGGTTCCCCCAACACAGTGAGGAAAGAATGGAGGTGGGGAGGTGGTGGCCATCTTTGGCCTTGTAGATAGGAGAGACAGAAGGGGCCTGGGCCCTGGACCAGCTCCCAGGGCAGAGCCCCCTAGACCCACACGGGAGGGAAATGAGCCCCTCTCTGCTCCACCCGCTGTTTCTTGGGTTCTGCAAGAGTGGGCGGGCGCATCCTAATGAGACACTGAGCCCACGTGAGCCTGGACCCGTGAGGCCAGACTTGAACTCAGGCCCCGGGGTGTGGACTCAGAGACTGTGCTCAAAGCCGCTGGGCTGACCATGCTGCTGCGTGCGGCGGATGCTCAGGACACGGTTTTGAACGGGGGCCCAGGACACCTTCTAGGGAGGATCCCGCCCTGGAAGAACCAATTTCTTCTGGGCCCTAACTGTCACTCGGTTTCCCCGGGATGAGCCACAGCCTTACTTCTAACTCCTGTGCCCAACATTCAGAGAGGATCCTGTTGACCATGTCTTCCGGTCTCTAAGGCGCCTTCATACCCCCGTCAGCATCCACCTGACCCCTTGCTGGGACATCAGCAGGGAGCAGCCGTGCTCCCTCCACTTTCAGGTGACAGCAGCATGACCTCCGCACACGTGACCTGGCCCACGGCAACCGCTCGCTCGGGTCACGTCTTCCCGTTCCTTTAGGAATGTTCACTGAGTGATGTGTCACTCCTAATAGTCTTTAAAATATCGTTTTTAAAGAGGAATCGGATGTGGGAGGGCAGCAAAAGCCCACGTGGAGGAGTCAGGAGACCCAGCGATTGGTCAGTGGACCTGCTGGCGACCTTGACACGGCTCTCCCCCTCTCTGAAACGCGCTTCTCTAGTGTAAAATGAGGACGCTGGGTGAGATAGTCCCCTCTCCCCGTTCCCATTCCGGGTTCTGCTGCTCTGTCCCCCGGGGTTGGGAGTGGCCCGGGTCCTCGGCCCTCCACCGGCATTTCCCAGCTCCCTTCCTGAGCCTGGCTCTGAGTCCTCTGGCTTAGAAGGTCAGCTCTCTGAGCCTCAGTGTCCTGGTCTGTAAAACGGGAATGAGAGTAAATGTAAGGACATGGCTCACAGACTGTCATGTCTGCTACGTGTGTTTATACATACACAGCACTTAGAATTGAGCCTGTCTCAGTAAGCGCTCAGTTCCTAGGTATTACGGCATTGATCGTGAGTTATCAGTAATATTATTATTAATCATTCTAATGAAAGGTTAATGGGCATTTGCGGATGACTGCAAGAGAGAGCAGCACATGGGAACATCCAGAAATGGCAGTTCTGTTGGAAGGCCAAGGGCTGGGGGCTTGGCTCGGTGGCCCTGGGGGCTCTCCAGGGTCTGCGGTTCCCAGCCTGGGCACCTTAACCTGCCACCTTCCCTCTGTTCGTTTTTCACATTGGCCCCACTTAGGCTGCTCAGTTATGTTAGGAATGGAAATTCCCAGGCTCTCAACACTGAAAAAGCTCTGCAAGTTGCCTCAGCCAATGCTTTTCCCGAGTCATGGCTCTGTATGCACACACACACACACACACACACACGCATGCACGCACGCACCTCACCAATTCTTGAATATCTCCTCAGGTGGAGCGCTCACTACCTACAAGCCTAGCTTGACTATTAGATCATTTATCTTGTGAGGCAAAACCAACCTCTCTGGGTGGTGTTCCCCCTCAGGGACCAGGGGCAGCAGCCAGTAAATCGGCCCCTCCCCGCTGGAAACCTCCCGGGGCCTCGACTGCCCTCCTGGAGTGGGAGTCATGCTGCGCTTGCACAGGGCTCTGGCTCCGGGAGCGTCAGTGATACAGCCCCGCAGACAAGCCGAGGGGGCACGCGGCCGCAGCAGTGTCCACCCGCCCGCCCGCCAGCAGCCCCGCTTCTCTCCTCTTGCTGACCAGGCCCCTTCCCTTTTGCACCAGAACTGCTGGCAGAGAAAAGGCAAAGATTTGCCTGAAGCAAACACGTGAAATCCTTCCGCAAACACACATTCCCAGAACGCAGACTCCAAAGATACCAGGGAGAAGAGGCCGCCTGGATCAGATTTCTTTGGGGTCTGTCGCCTGAGTTGGTTGGCCATCTAAGCTCGGGGTCCCTGTATCGACTCTGCAGGGTGTCTGCTTTCTCCCAGCCATTCACAGGCTGCTGTCTCCGCTCTCAGATCCAGATGTTCTCGCGAGACCCTGGCCGTTTCGCTCCTGAGCTCAGTGGGCCCGCAGACAGCCTTCCGTCTCCAGCCTCCTCCTTCCCTGGTGCCGTGTCCCTCTGCAAGTCACTTTACCTCCCCAGGTCTCAGTTTCTCCATCTGTAAAATGGGACAACAATTGTCCCTGCCTCTTGGGGTTTTTGTGAGTGTCCAGTGAGGCAGGTCTCTGAAACCTCTGATCCAGTCCCAGGCACACAGTAGGTCTTTAATAAGCATTAGAAACGATTAGCTCTCAGCTGGAAGATGAGCTCGCTGCACTGGTAAAATGAGCCAGAATTAGGGGAAAAGAATCCCCTTTGGGAGAGGGGCTTGGTCTAGACCCACATTTGCTCTTTCTGGCTCTGGGTCACTGAGTCTCAAACTTTACTGAGCTTGAGATGCACCGAGGGAGCTGTAAAATGCAGAGCCCCAGGCCCTAGGCTCAGAGAGCCTGATTCAGTAGGTCTGGAGAGGCCCAGCAATCTGCAGTGTCACAACCTCTCCACCACCCCTGCCTCCTCCTCCTCCAGCCTGGACGAGATGTAACTGCTAAATGTGCTCCGACTGGCTGCTCCGTGCCTGTACTGGGCTGAGAACGGGGTGCAAGGCCAAAGCAGACAGATCCAGCCCCTGCCCCCAGGGAGCTCACCACCCAACAGGGGGTGTTCCCTCAAGGTCAGTGGAGGAGCTGGAGTTCTGGAGTGTGCAGGAAAAGCTGTGGGAATGAAAAGGTCAGAAGAGACCTACCTCCTGGTACTGTGTGGTTGTTGTCAGAAGTGAGAAAGGAGCCTCGGGGCATGAAGGCCTTGGGAGGGAGGGGCACAGGCTGGTCTCCCTGGCCTTGCCTGGGCTGGACCCACGCGGGGACAGGTGACATGTGGCCTGCAGTCGAGGTGGTATGTGCTCTGAGGTAGTTGTTGCCTGTGGGGTAAGACCTCGGCTCGAATCCCAGCTTTGCTCTTTCCAGCTGTGTGACCTTGGGCCAGTGAGACCCCGCCTAAGCTCTGTTTCCACCTCTGCAAAGGGATGGCTATTGTGTCACCCACAACAGAGGTGACTTACCAAGAAGCCAACGAAGCCTTGGTGCCAGGGACTCTCGCTGGCACGGCCCTGCCAAGGCCCTGGGCTCCATGGGAATGCAAAACTTGGCACCAGTTTTCTTAAAGAGGGTCCCCAGATTGTAAACGGTCAGGCCCCACGGAACTTGGCTCTGCCAGGCCCACCTCACGCGGCCGGTGGAAGATCTGGTGGGAAGACACTGGGCCCTTCGGCAGGCCTGGGTCTGGCAACGGAAGCCCCTTCACTTCTGGGCCTTGGAAGGAGAGCAGACTGGCACCCTGGATGGGGCGAAGTCTGTCGGGGGAGGGAGGGCCAGGCACTGAGCCCGGTCCTGTTCTGACTGCCCCTTGCCCCCAGACCTCAGGGCTCCGACCTCTGGCCCAGCCTGGGAGCAGGGAGGAGCAGGCCAGGAGGAGAGGGACCTGGGGAAGGGAGGAGGCTGGGGAGGAGGGCGTGGAGGCCGGGAGACTGAGCCTAGGGCAGGCCCCGCTGGCTGCCATCCGCAGCAGCCTTGGAAGGGCCAGGCTGGTGAGAAGCCAGCCAGAGGGAGGCCCCGGGCAGAGGCCTTGGGGTCGACTTGGCTTTGTTAAGGACCCTCCAAAGTCTGAAACCAGGGGAGGATGCAGGAAACCCAGGACCCACAGTTGGCGGGGATACTGGGGGCCTGGGCATGTCCCCTCAATGTGAAGAGAGGACCCACCTCCTACCCCCCACTCTGTGTCAGGTCTGGCCCAAGAGCCCCATTTCCCTGAACCCTGACCTCCACCTCCTTCAAGTCCTCACTCTGCTCATCTCTATCCTGTCCACGAGGAAGTGGAAGCTCAGAGAGGGCAAGTCCCTTGTCTAAGGGCACACAGGAGGGGAGAATACAATAGGAACCAGGATTTGGATCCAGTCCTAACTCCAAATTCCTGCTCTTAACCCTCTCCTACCACCACCCTGGGCTGTGGGCACAGGGGCACGTAGTGGGCTCTCAATAAAGATGGAATGAATGAAGTAAGGAAGGAAAGAATTCACAGGCCAGACTCTTCCCACGCCCTCCCCCCACCCGCCCGTCGGCTCTTTCAAGCTCCGGCCGCCTGCCCCCCCATCCCCCTCCCCCTTCCCCGTCTAACTGGGAGGTTACGGACCGGCTCACCGGCTTCCGCAGGTTCCCCCGCGCTCCTCCCGGAGCCCACCCCGAGGCAGCTTTCTCACAACAGAACCCCCCCCCCCCCCCCCGGCGTGGGGACGCCTGAGGACCCCGAGGCCCCGCGGGAGAGCCGCGACCTCCTGCGGGGTGGTCTCCGCAGCCGCTTTCCCCTCCCGGCCTTCCCCGTCCCCACCCCGCCCCCTCCCCTTCCCCGGGCAGCTAAATAATTGATTCGACCATAAATAACCGATCTGTGTTGCGCCCGCGCCCTCTGGCCCCCAGGGTGCGGGGGGTTCCCCGCTAGGGTTCGGGGGAGTGGGGAGGGCCAGTGGACGGGGACCGCTGTGCCGCGCGCGCCCCTGGCGCACAGTTTCGCTCGACGGGCCTTTCTCTCTCCCTCTCTCCCTCTCTCCCTCTCGCCGGCTTTTTCCCTTTTTCTTTTTCCTTTTTTTCTTTCCTGGAGCGGAGCCCGGCGCCAGGAGTCTGGAACCAGCTTGACAAGCTTTTGAGTTATGGAGGGGGGAGGGGAGGGAGCGGGCGGGCGGGCGGGCGGCGCGGGGAGGGGAGCGGAGGGGAGGGGGCGGGGTGCGGGCGCGGCGGCGGGCTCCCGCGGGCAGGGGCGCGCGCACCCCCCCCCTTGGAGACGCCCCCCAACTTCGGGCGACCGTCGGGCGAGGGTCTGCCGGGGGCGGGCGCGGCGGCGGGACGCGAGGGTGAGTCACCGGGGCCCGGCGAGCAGCCCGGCTGGCGGAACGCGCCCGGCTGGGGAGCCGCAATAAACGAGGCCCGGGCAGGGGGGGCTGCGCCGCCTCCCCGCCGAGCAAGACATTCCTTTCCGCTGAACCGGGCGCCCGGGGCGGGGAGGGCGCGGGGCACGCGGGAGCGAGGCCCGGGGCGGCCCCCTCGCCCCCGCCCCCGCGCGGCTCCCCGGGAGCGCACTGCATCTTCACCTGCCCCGAGGGAAGGGACCGGGAGGCCCGTGAGGGTCGTCATGCCGCGCGGGTCCCGCAGCTGCCTGCCCAGCGTGTCTGGTCCCCGCTCCTTTGCCCATCCACTCCCACTCCCCCTCCCCTGGTGGCGACTTGGGGCCTGGTACAGCCCTGCGGGCGCGGGGCCGGGCGCACGGTGGGGGCCCCCCGTAGCCACCGGCTGATTTCCCAGGAGCCCCACTTCTGACTGCGCGGTGCCAGACGCCCCCGGCCCCAGGGTAGGTGGGAGACGTCTGGAATTCTTGGTGTACCAGGACCACTAGTAGAGAGAACTTTCCAGACTTCTTCAGGTCCAGAGCCCAGGAGGACACTTCTGGATGCCAGGAGAGGCCCGAGTTCCAGACACACCTTCCCCTGGACTGCAGAGTTCCTGGTCAAGCCTGGTTGACTTCTGTGTACACAGTTCCTTTAGGGGCGCCCAGTGTTTCCGCCACGCCGCCACCGCTTGGTGCCTTCCTGCCCCGCCTGCTCCCAGCAGTGAGTGACCTGGAGCTACTGTCAAAGGCCTGGGCTTGCCCCCTGGCTGTGTGGCCTGGAGTGGCTGCCTTCCCCAGTCTGAGCCTCTCTCGCTCATCTGTGAGATGGGTTAGTAACAGTGCCAGCCTTGCCTGGATGCTGGAAAGTTCCATGAGGCCATGCAAGCCTTGACTTAGCACAGGGCTGGCACACAGTGAACACTGAAGACGCGGTCACTGCTGTTGGAGCTGGTTGTTGGTGGTGGTTGTTATTTCTGAGGGACTCACCTCGGCCTAGCCAGGCCCCCCTGCCCGTCCCCCCAAGCAGAGCCGTGAGAACGCCAAGCCTGTGGAGCGCCCGGCCCCTCCTCCCGGCCCCCGCTGAGCGGAGTGTCGAAATCATCCAGAGAAGCCGCTGAGCAGAAATTTCCAGTCTCCCTGGCAAAGCCGACGAGAGTTTGGGTGCGGCTCAGAGACAGTTGGGCAGGCTCTGCGGGGCCAGGGCAGGGGAGGGACCCCTGGAGGGTCTGTGAGACCGGCATCCCCGACCCTGGGGGGCGCCTGGCCTCCAGCCCCAGCCCAAGCCTGTTGTCCCCCTTGTCACTGGAGGGCTCAGGCAGGAGCCGGGCTGGCTCAGCTCCCTTTACCAGGCCTGCACCCCGGGAGTCAAGTAAGCACCCCTGGGAGAAGGGATAAAAGGGTACCGGGAGGATGAAGGAGAGGGTGCCTGGGAGCACCAGCACAGCCCCTCGCACCCTGCCCCGGGAGGCCCACTTCTGCTGATTGCTTGGCCACCAGGAGGAGCAGAGGCCCCCATCAGGATGGTGGGTCTCACTGGGGCTGTGGGGACTGTGGGGTCCCTGTCCTAAGTGGCCTGGAGAACCCACAAGGAACCTGGCAGGCAGGCTGAGCTTCGCTTCGCTCACAAGGCTGTGTGACCCCAGGTGAGCAACTCAGCCTCTCTGGACCTTGTTCTCCCTCTCTGCAGAACACAGACAGTGGTCTGTGACCCTCACTCACCAGAGGGGAGTAAGGAGCACTGGAGTAGGAGGAGATGGGGGGGGTCGAGTCCCAGCACTGCCCCAAACTGAACGGTGACCTTGGAGAAGTCTGAATGAGACTAAATAAGATGAGACTGAATAACGCTAATAACTAGAACATGTCAGCCGCTCTCTGCTTCAGCCATGCTGGGTGTTTTACATTCACTGTTTCTCTTGGAGGAAGGTTTTATTATTAACTTTCTTTTCCAGATGAAGTCGCTGAGGCTCAGAGAGGTCGATTCACTTTCTCAAGGACACACAGCTAGGAAATGAACGAGTCAGTATTCAAATGCTGATCTCCTGGCTTAGAGCCTGAATCCCTAAAGAAAAAGCAAGTTGCATGTTTTCAAAAATGAACCATTTTGAGCACCTACTATGTGTAAGACACCGAGGTGGGCGGCAACAAAAATAAGGATGCGTGGCCGGGCCTTCAAGAAGCTCTTAACTGAGTCAGGACACAAGACTCTAATGAGACTCTCACAAAGGAGAGGTCGGCTCCGTGGGGGGGGTGGAGGGAGAGGTAGGGAGCTGGCCAGGAGGCACAGAGTGGGGTTGGGGGAGGGACAGGGAAGGCTGGTCTTGAGCAATGAAGAGGAGTTTTAGTGGAGGGCACGGCCATCCCTGGAGGCAGGCCCAGCAACGCAAGGCAGCGTAAGAGGATGAAAGCTGCGGGGGCCGGAGGGCGGTGCGGAGAGAAGCCGAGCCCGTTGCCGGCGCTGGGGGCTGGGCCTCGAAGGCCTTCCAGAGCCGCCGTTCTCTCTGAAAGCGGGGAGCCGCCGAAGGTCTTTGAGCAGAGGTGGACAGCGTCCTCTGGGAGCGTTAGAAGGACAGCTCTATTCTACAGGCAGAGAGGTGTCCTGGGCGCGCACACACACAACTAAAAGGACAGGGAGGGTCAGGATCCGTCGCGTGAACTTTTACTGCGTTTCCTTAAAAAAATTTTTTTTTTGCCTTGTAGAGGTATAACGATTCCAAAAAAAAAAAAGAAAAAAAGAAAAAGAAAAAGAGGAAATTTTCAAAAGGAAGAGGGGGCCTGGAGGCAGGGAGATGGGGGAAGCCACAGCAGAGGGAGCCGGGATGGGTGGGCAGCTGCCTCTCTGGCGGCTGTTTGAGTGATGGGCGGTCAGGGGCTGCATCTCAGAGACCTACAGGGAGCTGAGCGGCTGGCTGCAGGCATGAGACCCTCCTCTTGCCCAGAGCCTTAGCGCCCCTGACCCAGGATGGCTTCAGCCCGTCCCTGCTCCTCCCAGATGTCTGTCCTCACCAGTCTCCTCCCCGCTGGCTCGGCCATAGGACATCGGCTGGACCTTAAATCCTATCATGGGCTAAATGGGGACGGAGCCCAGGCTCCCACTGTCCTTGAGGACAGACTGTCCCATGCAGGACCCCAGGCGCTGTCTAGGTGCCTTACCCGCAGTGTCTCTTAGTCTGAATATAATCCACAAAAACGTGTGTTGCTCTCCCCGTTTGACAGCTGGGGAAATGGGGGCTCAGTGGCTCACTCCCCAAAGCTCTCACAGGGAGGCGGGAGTGGGATTCTCACGGGGGGGGGGGGGGGTTCGCCTGAGAGTCCCTACACCAGGATGCCTGGCCTCAGGCTCTTCAGGAGAAAACCCGTCCCTGGGTCTCCCCAGATCTCATGCCTTCTGGCTGCCCGGGTCCTGGAATAGGGGCAAACTCTTACTCGACCTGCAAAGCCCCGTGAAACCCTTATTTCCTCTCCATAGAGTCCTGCACTGGACCTCCTGTCCCCTTATCTGTGTTGCGGTGGAGCTCCCCCGAGAGGGAAGGGAAGGCTCGGGGACATGGCTGGGACAGGAGTTCCAGCCCAGCGCCGCGTGGGTGGAGAGGCGGGAGCAAACAACCAGCTTGTTCTGGGTCTCAGAAGGCCAGCACTGGGGCAGGGTGGACGCGAGAGGGATGACAGCCTTGCTCAACCCTGGGAAAGGCGGATCAGCCAGCCCCTGGAATTATTTGGCTTAGAGGCGGAGGAGGACAAGTTCCAGAAGGCGGGAGAAGCAGAGACAGAGGCTGCTTAGCACGGCCTGGCCGGCTCCGCACCAGCCCCAGGACGACGCAGCCCTTTTCTGCCCCCTCCTCCCGCGGCGCATGCGCACTCGGGACCTCTGCCGCAAGCCTGGGGCGGGGAGCCATCTTTAGTGCACGTGTCCCTAAGCCCGCATCCCTGGTAGCATCCACACAAAGACGAAAAGCCCCCTCTTAGAGCCCAGAGGCCCCCCTGGGTGGAGAGGACCAGAATTGGGAACAGAACGTGGGCTCCTTGTAAATTCGGAGGATTCCCCAGCGCCAAGAACAGTGACCGGCATATAGCAGGCGCTTAAACATTTGTTGGATGAACGAATGAATGAATGATTTCCTGGCCTGAGGCCCAAGGAGGGCCAGGAGCCTGCTCCCTTGTGAAGCAAGACCCTCCTGCGGAGCCCCTGGTGTGCAGGTGGCTGTGGGCAGGCTGCAGGGTGGGGGGCAAGGAGGGGTAACTGGGAGCCCAGCAAAGCGGCCCGGGGAGGGAGACAGCCGGTGAGCCGTGTTTCTGGGGAAGCACCCACTCTGTCCCTGGGCCTGAGGAACTGCCAGTTCACGCCGGTGGGGCCCCCCAACACATACACACAGGTTCCCAGGGGGCAGCACGGTGCCGTCCTGAAAGCCAGGGGCTCTGGACTCAGACGTTTCTGGGCTCCAGCCCCACCCCTCACTAGCTGGACCAGTTGCCTCAGTTTCCCCATCTGTGCAATCAGGCTCTGCTAATCCCAACAGCCTTGACCCTTTTCCCCAAGCCCAGGCCAGACAGGGACACACCCCCGCCTCCCTCAGCCCTGCACACAGCCCCCGGGATTGCACAGACACACGTGTACATGCACACACACACGCAGAGCGCACACAGACCCACACCCACAGGCACATACGTGTGCACACAGACGTACATTCACACAGGCACATGCTCACACAAGCAGACGTGCACACACAGGCACAGCCACAGCACACACACACACTCACACATTTGCACACAGACCCCACAGGCACATCCTAGCTCATGCTCAGCCCCCACCCGCACCCAGTCCTCCCCCTCCCACCCTGGCCCTCGCCCACGGCACCCACACCCGCTCACACTCATGCGCACACTCACCCCCCCCAGATCTGTGTGCACCAACTGTTGGCGCGGGCGGGGCTGGGAGCGGGAGGGAAAATAACCCGCGACTCAGCCGGGGAAGAGGGGCGCGGGGGTGCGCGGGCGAGGGAGATGACAGCCCGCGGTCCCCCTCGAGTCTCGGCTCATGAATATTAATGCGGCGGTAATTAAAATGCAGGGACGCAGCAGGATGGATGCCGCTGCCTCCGGAGCGCTGGGGAGCGCGGCGTCTTTGCAGGCGGGTGGAGCCCGCTCCTCGCTGGCGGCGGGGGCCGGGCCGGGGCCGGGGTGGCCGAGCGGGGCGACCCGGCGTCCCCCCGCGCCCTGGCCCAGGCCGGGCCGCCCGCCAGGCCGCGCTTCCCGGAGCCGGCCCCCTCCCGCCCTCGCGCCCGCTGATGTCATCGGCACAAAACTTTCCGCTTCCCGGCCCGGCTCGGCCCTGAGTCATCGCCGCCCCCGGCCCGGCCCAGCCCGGCCCGCGCCGTCTGTTTGTGCCGAGCCGGCCCGGCCTGACGTCAGGCTGGCAGGGCCTGGAGCCGCGTGGGGCGGTCCGCCCAGCGCTGGGGCCACCAGGGCAGGGACATCACTAGTTGGGGAGGGAGGGCTGGGGCGCAGGCCGCGGGGAAGGGCACACCCTGGGGTTCCAGGTTCAAACTTGGGAGTCTTTTACGCAGACTGCTTGACCTTGGGCCTGTCCTTTAGGCTCTCTGAGCTTCAGTTTCCTCCTCTGCCCCTTAGCAGATGCTCAACTGATCTTCCCAGACTCAGGAAGTGAATTGCACAGCTGAGCGAGCCCAGGCCCAGAGATGGAAAGGGGCCTGCCCAAGGTCGCACAGCAGGTGGGCCAGTCCAAGCTGGGTTTCTGGGCCCTGAGTTCCAAGTTCTTTCTGCGGGGCCACAGGCTGGTGCCCCGGTGTGAGGACCCTTTTAGGGTCTACGTGGAGAAAACCGCACGCCTGGGTTTGAGTCCTGGCCAGGCCGTGGGCCTCTGGCCAGCGTTTTTGTCTCTAAAGCAGGAGTGATAATCTAGTATAATAACCATGCGGAATCTGGGAGGATGGAGGATCAAATGAGGAAAGACAGGTTGCCTGTGAAGTCGGGGGCAGCTGTTAGTGTGTGATTAAGATGATGCTCCAGCTGAAGTCAGCTGAGAGGGCCGTTTTGGAGTCGGTCGCCTGGGTCCACATCCTGGCTCCCACTCTGCGCCCTTAGGCCAGTGGTGCCAACAGCCTAACCCTGTGCCAGGCCCCGTCGGCTTCCGCTCCTCCGGCCTCGTGGGGTGCTGGGAAAGCTTGTTACACCCACCCGGTCCTTGCCAGAGCCGCACGGAGAGTGTGCCAAAAACATCTGCAATTCTTCGGCTTTTACTTGGGCCTCTGGCACATCATCCCGGGACGCAATTTCTAGATGGGAAACTAAGAAGCTTTCGGCTGCTGCTCACAGAGGCTGAGCACTGAGTCAGCTCAGGGCTGGGGGCCCAGACCCTGCAGCCTCCCACATGCAAGGCTGGGCTGCGGGAGGGAGGGCTCTGGCTCTTCCCCAGGCGCCAGGCACACCCTCAGCTCCACCCAGCATCTGCCCTGGTCCAGGCCCGCCCCTCCCACCTGGCCAGGTGGCTCAGCGCCTCTCTGCTCGTGCCCACACACCCCCTCAAGCTCACAGAGAAAGGCCTGCCCCACGGCCCCCACACCCTGGCCTCTCCCTACCCACCCCCAGGCTTCCGGGAACTCTTTCAAGTCCTCTGCTCTCCAGGCTGCTCTTTGTGCCTCCAGGCCTTTGCACCTGCTGTTCCCCCTCCCTACTCGGAACACCCCGTCTCCTCTCCCCGCTTCCTGGTTAACATCTCCTCCTCCATCTCTCCTTAGCTCTTCCCCTGGGGAGTGACCCACTTCCCACCACCCCACAACACACACACACACACAGCACACACTCCCCCACATCACACAGGCCACACCACACAGAGGCACAGACACACCACACAGATCAGAGACACAAGGTGCACACACACGTACTCGCACACGCGCACACTCCCTATGCCATAGACCGCAGACACACGGACCCCACGCACGTCACAGACCATTCAGTACAAACGCCTTACGGACCCTGACCACACAGTAAACACACACGTTCACACACAGACCACACAGCACGCATCCAGGCGGCGTTGGTGCCCACACTCCCCCCCCACCCCCGCCGGGCTCCTCCAGCCTCTAATCTTGCCCCCTCACCCCCATCGTGGGGTTTACCCCCCAGTAAGCGCAGGGCCCCATCCTCCTCCTCCATTCCAGCACAGGGACTGGCATCAAGTCTCGCTGGTTGGTATCTTGACCCCTGACCCCCCATGGTCAGTAGTGTCCCAGTCCCGCCCCCATCGAGGCCCTTTCAAACGAGTGCCCACCCCCATTGCTGCCAGCAGCTGTCCTCCCTCCCTCCAGAGCTGCTCTGGGCCGGGCCCTGTCACCGCAGGTCACTCTGACCTGGTCTTTGGTCAGCCCCACTCCCACCCCAGACTACGGCTACTCAAGAGGAAGCACCAGTGTCCAGCTGCCCCCTGTCCCCACTCTGCCACCCCAGCCCAGGGCCTTGGGGCTATTTCGTGACTTCAACTGGGCCAGAGTCTTAAGGTCACTTTTGTCTGGGGCCTCAACTTTCTCATCTGTAAAATGGGGCAGCACTGAAGGTACCTTGTAGCAACTCAGAAAAGTCATGGTGATATCAGCATGGCCACCGGTTTCCTGCCGGGCCGAGTTTGTGGGTGAACTGAGCTTTGCTGGGTGCAGCTCGGCCCCTCGCTGAGCCCCTTCCCCAAGTGTCACGGCCTCCTGCAGACTGGGTCCCTGAGGCCCTTTGTGCCGGGCCCCCCGGGGTGGGGTGTTGGGTTGGGGTCCTGACAAGGAGCAGGCTTGTCTGTCCCTGGCGCTGCCCCTCGCGGTCAGCAGCCCTCGGGGGGCCTGGCCTGCAGCCCACATCCCCAGAGCACACCCTGGCTGCCCCGCCTGTCAGGAGAAACGCACAGAGAGGGAGGGCCAGCCTGTCCAGTTGGGTGACCAGCATCAGGAGGGAGAGGAGGGGGATGGGCAGACACAGGGAAGGAGCGAGTGGCCGGCCTTCGTCAGGGTGGACACGTTCACGGGAGATGGACTCGGATGAGTTGCCCCATGACCGCACGCGCCTACTCTTGTCCTCACTGCCCCTTGGGTGCTAGGGCCCTCCCTTGGCCCAGGAGGAGCCCAGCAGCTCCCCTGAGCTCTGACTCGGAGTGGCACCCCCCCATCCCCATATGCAGGGGCCGGAGCGGGGAGCC